CCCCCTCCTTTGTTATTTGTGCTCTTTTCCTTTTTGAGAAAGTTATATAGTAATCACATTAGAAGAAAAATGTCAAGAAAGCAAATGAAAATAATTTCGCACTATTGCACATACTATTTAGAAATTTAAATTAATCCAATCTACGACCAAAGCAAAGCAAACCCATAATTCAAAATGCTGTATTTAACACCAAAGCAAACCCTTAATTCAAGCCACCATACGTGAATGGGCCATTTAAAGTGTAGATAAGTCAATATTTAAAATAAGTAACAAATAACTAGCATATGTTCAACTAGAAAAGAAAAGTGAAGATGAAATGAACCTAAATTGCACATACTAATAAGAAATTTCAATAGTCAAAGGTCGGTGGTGATGGTATCGCATTATCTTATAATAAGGCATGCCTCCTTTTAGCACATAGTTTCACTCTTGTTATTGCCGTACGTTCTATTATATTATTAAAAGAAAAATTAGGGTGTTGATTTTCTTTCTCTCTCTCTCTCTCTCTCTCTCTCTCTCTCTCTCACTCAATCGCTTCAATGCCTGTAACTTAAGAGATAACAGGAGAAAGAAAGCTTATCTCGGATTCAAATATGACACAAACAATGACTCTTTTCACCTGGATGTCAGCAGGTTAGGCAGCTCTAAGGTTTTTACATCACCCAATTTAAATTAACACCCAAGTAGCAAACTCAAAATTCAAAACACTGTGTAGAAAAGACCAGTGTAAAGTGTAAATAAATCAATTTTTGAGATACAAATAAGTACCATATATTCAACTGAAAATGAAAAAACAAGAACATAATTTGCATATACCACCGAGAAATTTCGCCTGTCCAATTTAACACCAAAGCAAAACAAACCCATAACTGAAAACAGCATACAAAAAATCCCAAGAAAAAGTGATTAATCAATTTTTAAAATGGGTTACATATAATTATCATATATTTCAACACAGGAGGAAAAGAAAAAAGGAAATGAAAGGTACCCAATAAGGAGCAGAGTTTGTTAATGGCCAGAGAAGAAGGCGGACGTGTCGCTGAGGGCGCGAAGGTCTTCTTGCAGAGGTCATATAGAGCTTGAATCGAAGGAGGAGAGCTCTTCGTCATTTTTAAGATTCTTCACTGCATTCGAGGTTGGGAGGGGGTCGGGATTATGGCCCCCGTTTTTGTTCTGATTTTCCGCCCCAAAAAATAATTTTTTGACAATTGGCAAACCGTCATTTTTTAATTGAAATCATTTTTTTTCTCTAACAATCAAAAAATAATTATCATAATCACTATTAAAATTAAAATAATGTTTGGACTACATAATTTTGGATTGTCCATATACTCGCATGGGGTGGACCCAAGGATCCAAAATTATGCACTAATAAATTTATCCACAATATTATTCATTTTTCTTCTCCAATCTTTCGTCCACATTTGTTGATAAACACTAATCGATTTGTTTATTTAGTCCCCATTTGGTCCCATTATTTCAAAATTTAATGGGCAAAATAGTATTTTTATGAAAAATGAGTGGTTAAAAATGAAGAATTTTTTTTTGAATTTTACGTGTAATATTATTTTATAAAAGATTGTATGATTAAAAACATGAGAGAAAAAGGTAAAAATTAATTTAATGGGGGCTAAACGAATCCATTTTTTAAAGTCTAATTTTTAAAAAATTAAATTAGTTTTTATTATATATTTTTAATATAATAATTTACTTAGTAAATTTATACTCTTCATTTATTTTTATTACATATTCTTTAAAAAATTATTTTTAAAAAAATTTATGGTAAATATGTCCAAATTATCGATCATAGTTGTCAATCCCTTATCAATAAAATTGAAATTTAAAAAAAAAAAAAAAAAAAAAATCTCTTTTTCCTTTTTTCCTTCTCTGACACGTTATATTGAGATGTGTTGAAAATCTTTGTAGTCATGTACTTTGACGGTTTGATCCTTGTTAAACATGTTCGAATCTCATTAATTACATTTCATTTCATTTATGTAAAAATGCATTTTAGAATAGTAAATTGATGTGAAATGTGTAGTTGAGAAATAAGGAAAAGTTTTTGATTTACGTGTAATATTATTTTAATAAAGAATGTGTAGTTGAAAATAAAAGAGAGAAAAATGTATTTTAAAAAAATGGCTACCAACCGAGAATCACACAATCTTTCATAAAATGATATTACACGTAAATCGAAAATTTTTCCTTTTTTTTAACCACTTATTTTTCAAAAAAAATACTATTCCACCAATTTTCATTTCAAAAAATGGGGGCTAAACAGAGGCCTAGGGTTGTTTGAACCCCATTTTTCTAGCAAAATGTATTTTAAAATAGTGTTATGATGAAAAATACCTGGTTAAAGAATAAAGAAAAAATTTGAATTTGAGTGTAATACTATTTTATTGAAAAATATGTAGTTGATATGAAGTCAAATCACTATGAAAAAAATATATTTTAATGAAAAAATTGGGCTCAAACAAGAGCTTAGGCCCCGTTTGGTAGGGATTTTTTGCCTCAAAAAATTGATTTTTTGACCGTTATTTTACTATTCAAGCCGTAATTTTTGACTTCTTCTCTCACATGTGGATCCCACTTTTCTTCTAACGGTCAAAAAATCAATTCTCAAAATTCCTACCAAACGGGCCCTTAATGTGTTATACAGCTGTAAAATTTGGTTTAGCTTACTTTTAAATAAATAATTAAGTTCTAAAATAAACTCTCGTTTAATCTCCATGAAATTAAAATTTATTTTTTCCCTACTATTTTCAATCATATAATCTCCCATAAAATAACATTATAAATAAATCAAAAATAAAAAATTTCCTCCTTTTCAATCACTCGTTCTCCCCAAAAAAAAAAAAAAAACCAATTTGACCCATTTTTCTTTGAAATGATGGGGCGGCTAAGCTGTTTATTTTGATAACAAAGTAAGAGTTGCTTTTATTTGAAATGTTAAATTGTTTTGGTAGACTTATTTGTAATCAAAATAGCATATCCGCCTATTTTTCTGAACTTCAAAACTCTCAGCATCTCACAGACAGGCAGAGTATAGTTTCTGTGTAAAAGATGGTGTCGAACTGTGAGATTGAGAGTATGGGCAGTAATAATCAAGAACGGCGCCGTGTGGGGCTGATATACGATGAGAGAATGTGCAAACATTCGACCCCGGATGATGAGGACCATCCCGAAAACCCCAATCGCATAAAAGTAATCTGGGATAAGCTCAATGCATCTGGAATTGCTCAAAGGTTCTTTAAAACTCGCGCGTTTGTGTTTTCCATTTAGCCTTTTTATTTTTTTAAACTGTAGTTGACTATTAACGTAGAATTCAGTGATAAGAAGGTAAATTATGCAATTGGATTTTCAACTTCTACTTCGAGAGAATGAAATAAATTTATGTTATTTAGATTTTAGAGCATGTTTTTCGTTGCTTCAATCTACAAAAGAAGAGGCTGTTTTACCACTATTGGCTAAAAAAATTATCTTCTACAGGCAGCAAGACCCTTCTTACTGCGGAAAGAAGCAAGTTTTTGGCTATTTTCTTAGTGTTTCAACTGAGCCTCTCTCATTTCCTTCTTGAAAAAGAATAATTGGTTGCTGATATATGTTCTGCTTCTCTCCCCTTTCTTCTTCCCTTTTTCTTTTTTTTTTTCTTTTTATTTTTTTTTATTTGTGGGGGTATGCTGCTGGGTTGTGGTGGTGGTGGTGGTGGTGTGAGATTATGCTGCTGGGTCAATAAAATTGAACCCTGTTGTTGTTTCTTTTTTATACTTTTAAATTTTTGTTCACAATCCAAATTTCAAATATTTCTTGAAAAGGGGGTTTAGAAGGACAATGTTATACTTTGTAGTTTAGAATAATTTAACTATCTTTTTCCTTTAATGTCTACTTTTTATGTATTTCTCCTTTTGTATTGTATAAAGTTGTGAGTAATATTTGGTTTGAAATACTCTTCAAATACTGTACTGTAATTGTATACTGGTCTCATCATTTGCCAAGAGGTTTGCTTTTGACCTAGCCGCGTTTTTGCTTTTCCAGATGTGTTGTTTTGGATGCTAAGGAAGCAGAAGATAAGTATTTAGCTTTGGTCCACAGCAAAAATCACATCGATTTGATTAAGAATATTAGTTCCAAAAAGTTTGATTCGCGGAGAAATAAGACGGCATCAAAATTTAACTCTATTTATTTCAATGGAGGCTCATCAGAAGCTGCTCATCTTGCTGCAGGTTCAGTTACAGAGGTAATTAGAAATAAACATTAGACCTACTGTGGTCATTTTGTTCAAATGTGTGTGGCTATAGGAAATCATCCATTTTAGCCAATCAGTGAAAACTATCAACTTACATCTAATGTAGATTCAATTGTGTCATTTGAATGCCTTCTTGTATTCATATTTGGCTGTCCAGTTAGCAGTTTGGCTCTTGCTATGTGTTGCTGTGTTCCCATTGTCAACTTCTACATACCAAAGTGGTGCAATTGCTTTAGTTTTGAAAAATTTAACTGTTGAAACCTTGTAACATAGGTTGCTGAGCAAGTTGCGAAAGGAAAATTGGATTCTGGTTTTGCTATTGTCAGACCTCCAGGACATCATGCCGAAGAAAGTGAACCAATGGGATTTTGCCTGTACAACAATGTTGCTATTGCAACAAGTTTTCTCTTAAATGAAAGAGTGAGAGTTAATTTGAGTTATTGGGATCTAATTTTATTCGCCTTTTTCATCAGTTAGTATATGAAAATTCCCTGTTTTTGCACATTCCTATCATTCAGCTTTAATGTGTACCACTCTTCACACTGTAGCCAGAGTTGGGTATCAAGAAAATCTTGATTGTTGATTGGGATGTACATCATGGAAATGGTACTCAAAAAATGTTCTGGAAGGATCCTCGAGTGCTTTTCTTCTCTGTGCATCGGTACGTGAACACTTTTATATTTCACTTCATCAGTGTTTTTTTTTTTTTTTTTTTCCAGTTCAACAATAGCAACTCGTTCTGAACCTTCCTCGACAAAAGTTGAATTTGTTTGTTTCTTTTATTAGCTAATCATTTTGTTTAACTTTAGTATGTTTTCTGCTTGTTGAAAGGAATATAGGCATTTAGGGATGGTTGCTTGCCTCAAGTTGATAAAGTATTAATTTAGTCTCCTGCATTTTTTCTTCGATAATGAAACTTAGTGAGTAATCGGGTTATATAAACTCTTCAATCCAAGTTCTGCTAGCATTGGCATATAATAAATAACTTGAAGATTATTTTGGTCATATTGAGAGAAAGAAATTGTTTGTTTCAACTAGGCACGAATTTGGGAGTTTCTATCCAGGTGGTGATGATGGGTCATATACCATGATTGGAGAGGGTCCTGGCACGGGATACAATATTAATGTTCCTTGGGAGAACGGTAGGTGTGGTGATGCGGACTATCTTGCAGTTTGGGACCATGTTTTGATTCCTGTTGCTAAGGAATTTGATCCCGACATGATTATTATCTCTGCGGGGTTTGATGCAGGTTAGCTAAACTTCTCTTAACTGATTATGTCTGGATATTGTAGTCTACTATGTACACATGCATCTCATAAACTAACAGCAATTTTATAGAATTTTAGGCATGCAAGTGAGATAGAAAGAGTAAATATTTGCACGCAATTTTTATTTTTATTTATTTATTTATTATTATTATTATTATTTTGTGGCTAAACTTGAATTATCCTTTGACAACCTTACTAATTGGAAGGGGCTTAGTGAAATGAAATCATGTGTTTGAGAATCAACTAGTAGGTAGCAAGTGCATGTACTCCTACTTTAATGACTCCCTAGTGGCGAGGAAGTTTAGATTCCCCATTGGATGGTCCTCCAATTGCGTGTTCCGACTAATTGTATCTTTCTTGTGCATAGGATGTCTTATTCTGTGTCTTCCTTTTTCCAGGTTAGATGTAGACCTAATTACTTTTATCTTTATGTTACTAATTGCTATTTTTCTCCTTGTGTTTTTGATTCTTTAGGATATCATGCTTATCTGCATCTTATGCCTTTTCTTCATTGGATACTAAAGCTTTTAGCTGCGTTGCTATCAAGCTAAATGATAATTTCAAGACCACGGCAGTTGTTTGAAAAGAGTAGAAAGTGAACGTCCCCCAACATCGAAGGATAATGCCTATGAAAAGTTATTTGATAATCAAACTCTACCGAATAGCTTGACTATGTAGAAGTAATAAG